GACCAAATTCGAAGCTATAAAACCTTATTTTGCTCTTTTTACCACCAGATCATGTAATAGTGGTGAAAGCAAGAGTATTTCCCAAGAGTTAACAACTTTTTTCCATCCAAATAATGGCTCAATGACACTTTCCTACTCACAAACTTTTAAAATATCTTTTTATTATCCAAATTTATATTCTGGAGGTCAACAAAGAACAAACTCTATCCAAGCTGTTGAGACTTTTGAAGATGGCAGGCTAATGAGTCTTTTGGTTGTGGAATGTTGGATTTTGGTGGTTGGGATTGATCGAAATTTGACTTGGGATCGATTGTCGGCGATTAGTAGGGTTGAAAAAAGTAGAGTTTTAGGGGTTTTGGTGAGTGATAATTGAGGAAGAGAATAATGGTGGTGTGGGATTGCAACAATGTTAGAATCGCTGATGGAATATAAGTTTGAATAGCAAATTAGTATTTTAAAAGTCTACGGGTGGAAAAGTGTCATAAAACTATTATTTGGATGGAAAAAAGTCATTTATTCACTTTCGAATTGAAAAAATATATAAAAATACAGCAATGTTCTCCCGTCATAGTAAGTTATTTTATGGAAACAAAGTCAAAACAAATGCCACCTTAATTAGATCTAACTTTTTATGTGAACATTATTTTATTATTAATATTATTGTTATAAGTTTTGTGATCTTAATTTTATAGCTCAATCTAGGGGTGTTATCGAGCCGAGTTTTTGGCTTAACGAGCTCGGTTCGTGAGAGGGGAAGAGTAAACGAGTCGAGACCGAGCTGAGCCAAGCCATAAGTTATATGGCTCGGCTCGGCTCGGTAATGGATTAGGCATATTTCGAGCCAGCTCGCGAGCCATCTCCAAATAATTTTGTTTTTTTTTTTTTCCAATTTTTTTTACAAAAATTCGCTGGGCAGCAGTCTGAGTCGTCTGACTGTCCACCTTCATTTTCTTTTGTTTAAATTATTTATTCTTTTATCAATAAAAAATCAAAATAATTTTTTAAATATTATTTTCTTCATTCTTCAAAGGCAGAGGGCTCTTCAAATTCCGTTGGCTTGCGTTTCTTTGTTCTCCAATGTCTGAAATTCAAATAAATGAAAATCATAATTTAACTTTGTCTGGGCACCAACCATCTCCAAATAAAATTGAAGAAACCCCAAACAAACAATTAAATCCCAATCGACCAATTAAAGTCCCCTACGGACCGAAGTCCGACGACAATCCGACGAAGATGATGACGAACCGACGATATCTACTTCAGATCTGATGATGATGATGACGAACCGACGATATCCACTTCAGATCTGACGAAGATGATGACGAACTGAGATATCCACTTCAGATCTGACGAAAATCCGACGTAGATGACAACGATGACAAAGATCCAACGGCTGCCGAAGGTCCAACGAAGATGAACAATATCCGGTGAAGATCCGGCGAAGCTGACGAAGATGAACAAGATCTAGCGGAGAATCAACACTTTGGGAGGAGTTTGATTCAAATTTTACTGCAAGGGTTCACTACTGACGAATTTTTTGCGATTTGGGGATTTTAATAACGGGGGCCATTTTATTATTTTTTAAAACTTGTTTGCATTATTTTCAATTAAATCCCAATGGTTTAGAAATTCTCAGAAAACCCCCCGCTTTTTCAAGCCAGGCGCGGCTCGTGAGCTTGACGAGCCGAGCCTTGTATGGCTCGAACTCGGCTCGTTTTTTCTCACGAGCCGAGTCGAGCCGGCTCATTATTGGACGAACCGAGTCGTTAAAGAGCCAGACTCGAGCCGAGCCGGCTCGCGAGCGGCTTGGTTCGTTAACCAGCCCTAGCTCAATCTATGTGATAATTTATTTAAATTTAAAGGTTAATTTCATATACCTTGTGACATTGTTTCATTGGATGTGTTTTCGAAGATCATGGGAAAATCTATTATATTTAAAAAAAAAAAAACTTGAGCCTGGAGCTTTTTTTTAAAAAATAAAAAACAATTTTAAGGAATTTCAATAATAATATAAGATTTTTATGATTTCCAAAAAGAGTATAATATAATCCAAAACTTATTTACAAAGAAACAACATACAAGGTACAACACATAACCCTAAAAGTTGGCCTGACAGTAAAAAAATATTTGCTCATTTCTTATTACATTTGTAATTGAAACATGTACCTACGCCCAATAATGTCATAGGGTATGTTGTGGTTGAGAATTTATTAAAATTATTAGACAATTCAATACCACATTAAATCCTAGAAACAAAATTGGTAAAAATAAAATAAAATAAAATTTATACTAATTAAGTAACATTTCCTTTCAAATTAAATTATTGAGTTATAATTAAGTTAAGAAATTAATTTGCAAGTTGGAAAGAATGAGATGGTATAGTTAATAAGGGGAAGTGGAAGTGGGAACAATGAATGTAAAGGGCCCAAATCAATGTCATCGGCGATAGCAAAGTAATTTACGCATTTGTATTTTGAATGATTGAGGTGCCTAAATTAGTTTATAGTATCTTAATTAATCATTGAGATCTTAGAACTGTAGGTTAGATAAGAGTTTTAATAGCTTAGCAATCGATGAGAGATTCAAACTCATAATCTCTTGAATAGTTTACGGGTTTCGATAATCGTATTTGTTGAATTGTGACTGATTGTATTACTAATAAATACAGTAAAACTTTGCAATAACTAATTTAATTATTGATTTATTATACAATATTCTTTGTTATATTGATATAAAAAAATAATTACTATAACAGTTTATTTTGTTACATAATGCCTCTCTAATACTAAGAGTAATTTTATTTAAAATAATGAATTAAAGCTATGTTCAAAAAATAAAATATTTAATTTAAACGATCCACTGAAATTTTAGAAGAATTAAATTTATCCCATCTCATACAATGAAAAATTAGATTTTTTTTTATAGGCTGAATGACAATTTGACATCCAATTTATGGCAAAAGAATTTTTTTCTCCTCCTTTTTTTTTTTTTTTTTTCATTAGAGGTCTCTAAACTAGTTTGTGCGTACCTCAACTAATCCATTAAGGTCCTGAAATTGTTAGTCATGTAAGAGCCCCCAGTAACCACCCTTATTAGTGTCTGGAGGACTTAAACTCAAGAGCTTATAAAATCTCATCTTGTTTTTTTACCGTAAGGGCTAAGCCACCCAATGGTGGTCAAAATTATCTTGAGTTCATCTCATTTTCTATTTGACTACATAAATTCCAGCTATGCCATTATTTTCATTATTAAAAGTTTATTAACTTCTAAAAAAAATTATTTTTTTGGATGAACTTTTTTGAAATTTTTTAATTACATTTGATAATTTTCTTAACTCGTTATTAATTGTTATTTTTGTAATTAATTTAAAATATTTATATAACTGAAATTTTGTGATAAAAAAAAATGGTGAAATAGAAAATGAGATGGACAAATAATAAGTTTGGAGGTAACATTGGGTGTTTCCGAAAAAGGGGGGGAATTTCATTCACACTAGATTGGGGGACAAAATATTTTCCGGCATTGTTCATAAAATATTGGACTGACTGAATGTACTTAAGTGAAGAGGTGAAATTGGATTTTGATAAAATTCCAGAAACACTTTAAAGATGTCATAGTGTGAGTACCTTGTGCTAGTTGTAAGGTCGTTGAAGCTATTAACAGCTCTTCACCGACGAGCTTTTAATATTCATATGTCCAAATGAACCCTCTGTGTCCCCACCTACATTGCTCCCAAAAATCACAAGTCTTCATGCATTTCTTTCCCTTTATTAACAACAGCGCCCTGTCCTCCTTCATTTCCATGTCCATTCTCTTAAGGCAAGAAAAGAAATAAGAAGATCGAAGTTTTTGAGTCGTTTCTGGAGATGGGTATCTTTTCATTGATAACTGGAAGGCCTGGCTCAAGTGGGTTTGGTTCAGCTTCGACTGCTGAACAAGTTACTTATGGGATTGATGCAACCCATCTTACTGTTATAATCACTGGTTAGTTTATTTCTTTTTTAAACGTTATGGGTCTTTGTTTGTTTGTTTGTTCGTTAATGGGCAATGGTAGCGTTATCGTTGTTGAATTTTGAGTTTGGATGCTTCTAGTTTCTTCTTCTTCTTGATTGATTTTTATATTTTTCTATGCACAGAGTTCTGCCGCTAGTTTGGCCAGTCTGAGCTCTGTCAGTTTGGACTTCTTTATCACTAATTGGGATTCGTGGCATTATTTGTTTTGTTTTATTTTGTCCCCATTTTTAGCTTTAGCCCTCCTCATTTCAACTGCTTTCATGGATTGATGTTAGTTCTTATCGTTTTCCAAACACCTCTACGGCTCAGCTCACCCCAAAACAAAAAGGAGATTCATTTCAATTTTTGTTTGTTCCTTTCTATTAGCTTAAAGAATAACTGATTTGAGTGCCTACTGATCTTCCTCAAGTCCTCGAATGGCAGTTACTTTTTCTTTTCATTTTCNTTATCTTGAGTTCATCTCATTTTCTATTTGACTACATAAATTCCAGCTATACCATTATTTTCATTATTAAAAGTTTATTAACTTCTAAAAAAATTTATTTTTTTGGATGAACTTTTTTGAATTTTTTTAATTATATTTGATAATTTTCTTAACTCGTTATTAATTGTTATTTTTTGTAATTAATTTAAAATATTTATATAACTGAAATTTTGTGATAAAAAAAAATGGTGAAATATAAAATGAGATGGACAAATAATAAGTTTGGAGGAAACATTGGGTGTTTCCGACAAAGGGGGGGAATGTCATTCACACTAGATTGGGGGACAAAATATTTTCCGGCATTGTTCATAAAATATTGGACTGACTGAATGTACTTAAGTGAAGAGGTGAAATTGGATTTTGATAAAATTCCAGAAACACTTTAAAGATGTCATAGTGTGAGTACCTTGTGCTAGTTGTAAGGTCGTTGAAGCTATTAACAGCTCTTCACCGACGAGCTTTTAATATTCATATGTCCAAATGAATTCTCTGTGTCCCCACCTACATTGCTCCCAAAAATCACAAGTCTTCATGCATTTCTTTCCCTTTATTAACAACAGCGCCCTGTCCTCCTTCATTTCCATGTCCATTCTCTTAAGGCAAGAAAAGAAATAAGAAGATCGAAGTTTTTGAGTCGTTTCTGGAGATGGGTATCTTTTCATTGATAACTGGAAGGCCTGGCTCAAGTGGGTTTGGTTCAGCTTCGACTGCTGAACAAGTTACTTATGGGATTGATGCAACCCATCTTACTGTTATAATCACTGGTTAGTTTATTTCTTTTTTAAACGTTATGGGTCTTTGTTTGTTTGTTTGTTCGTTAATGGGCAATGGTAGCGTTATCGTTGTTGAATTTTGAGTTTGGATGCTTCTAGTTTCTTCTTCTTCTTGATTGATTTTTATATTTTTCTAGGCACAGAGTTCTGCTGCTAGTTTGGCCAGTCTGAGCTCTGTCAGTTTGGACTTCTTTATCACTAATTGGGATTCGTGGCATTATTTGTTTTGTTTTATTTTGTCCCCATTTTTAGCTTTAGCCCTCCTCATTTCAACTGCTTTCTTGAATTAATGTTATTGTTTTCCAAACACCTCTACGGCTCAGCTCACCCCAAAACAAAAAGGAGATTCATTTCAATTTTTGTTTGTTCCCTTCTATTAGCTTAAAGAATAACTGATTTGAGTGCCTACTGATCTTCCTCAAGTCCTCGAATGGCAGTTACTTTTTCTTTTCATTTTCTCTCGTTCTCTGGGATTTCCTTTTCTCAATCTCAAAAGTGTGCAAATTTTTTTGTCATAGAAAGAGCTTCGTGCACGTAAGGAACTCTGGTTGTATAGTGAACAAGGACATCAAACTTTGACTCAGATGAAGTCCGAAAATATTATTGGACCACTCTTTATTTTAAGCTCACCTTTGCTTGTACAGAAGTAGAACTGTAGAAGAGTTAAAAAGAGATTTTTAACTTTTATCAGAAACGTCCAGCTTGGAGGGTTCTTCATGAAATGAAACAAAATTAAAACCTGTGTTCCCATCTGAAATCTGGAGAAATACCTTTAAAAAATTTGGGAAAAAGGTATTGATTTATTTTGTTGTATGAATATTCTTAATGCAGGAGGAGCAGCAGGAATTGGGTTGGAGACTGCAAGAGTTTTGGCTCTCCGTGGAGCTCATGTTATTATTGGTGCAAGGAATATGGAAGCTGCAAATGAAGCGAAACAGCTTATTCTAAATGAAGATAAAACAGCTCGAGTGGATGTTCTGAAACTTGATCTTTGCTCAATTGCATCCATCAGAGAATTTGTTCAGAACTTCAATGCTCTTGATCTTCCTCTCAACATCTTAATGTATTCTCTTCCTCTTTTACTTTTGAATTTAATAATTTTTATTTTATTTCAATTTTACTGGAACAATAAAAACATTGAATTTCGCTACAGAAACAATGCTGGAATCATGTTTTGCCCATACCATCTTTCTCAAGAAGGAATAGAAATGCAGTTTGCAACAAATCATCTTGGTAAGTTGCATGATTCTTGTTACTTTCACAGTTATTAAATTATTTCATTTGAATCGCTTCTTTTCAGGTCATTTTCTCTTAACAAATCTCCTCCTGGACAAAATGAAGAACACTGCAAAAACCACTGGTATTGAAGGTAGGGTTGTAAATCTGTCATCAATAGCTCATCAGTACACCTACAAGGGTGGAATTCGATTTGAAAAGATCAACGAAAAATCTGGGTATGTTAACTTAATCACTGATTATTCTTAGCTTTATTATGCACAAATCATCTAAAGATCAGCTGATAATTAGTCTTCTCATTTTTGATTCAGTTACTCTGACAAAATGGCATATGGGCAATCCAAATTAGCAAACATATTACATGCCAATGAGCTCTCTCGTCGATTTCAGGTAATTATCCATTACTGATGCAGATAACTCAAAATTCTGTAAACAATTTTCTGAGACCATAACTAACATGAATACAGGAAGAGGGCGCGAATATTACAGCAAACTCAGTTCACCCCGGGTTAATAATGACGAATCTTTTTAAATATTCTGCCTTTCTGATGAGTATGTTCTATATCTCAGAAAGAAAACTATACTATATATATGCGCAAATGGTGTTTTCATTCATTTTTTCTTATTTTTATACCATTTATTTTGCAGAATTTTTAAAGTTCTTCTCCTTCTTCCTGTGGAAAAATGTACCTCAGGTAAATTTTGTGCATTTTGGCATTGGAAAAAGATGTATGGATTCAACCATTATTAAAACGTATTCATTGATTTCATCAGGGAGCAGCCACAACATGCTATGTTGCTCTCCATCCAAATTTAAAAGGAGTGAGCGGAAAGTATTTCGTGGACTGCAATGAAATGACACCAAGTCCACTTGCAAGAGATGAAGTATTGGCAAGGAAACTCTGGGAATTCAGTAATAAGTTGATTACTTCAATTTCAAAAGCTTAAATAAAATCATCAAATGCTACCCATCAGTCCAAATAAAAACTAGAAGCCCTACTTATATATATAATTAAGGGATTGATGAATTACTATTGAAATACGCCTTTTCATTTTCGTATCATTTATTTGTGTGCACCCATTTACATATTTATCATTTTTTTTTTTAATTCTTTCTTTCCCATACCATGCAGCAAAGCTCATTCAGAACGAAGAAGTTNAAATATACAATATACATAGGCTTTATAAAAACGGAAAGCAAACTCGAAATTTTCTTTCCTTAACCTGAGTCTCTCTCATGTCATTGCTCTGTCCTTTTACAGTTTTACTCCCGTTCTCTGACTCTTTCTGTCTCTATCTCGGTTCACTGTGCTTGTCCACTTCAAATTACAATAATGCCCTTACTCAAGGTGAGTTAACAGCTAAGGGGAGTTAAAGCTATATTTGAGAAAGGTCTAGGGTCTAAACTGTCTTTTCATCAAATTATAAAGAAGGTGTGTAGTATATTTATTTGCCTTTTAATTGAGACATAAAGAACACAGAAAATTGGATGCGCTAAATAAATATGCTTACCTGCTAAAATTGAATGAATAAATAGTACCAGCACAACTCTGCTCTTCAATTTGGTACCAAAAAGAATAACCTCAAAACCCAATAAATTGCACTGCCATCACTATGCGCCACTGCTCTAACTACTATCCAGAGTTTAGTTGACTCAGCATACCTGGAGTCATATGCTGAGTCAACTTTTTTAAATAAATAAATAATATATAATAAAGTAAGAGTATTTTTTTTTTTTTTATCACATAAGGTATTTAAACTAACTTATACGTACTTCACTTATCTCCCAGGGCATTGAAATTATTGACCAGGTAAAAATTCTAGTGGACACCTCCATTAATGTATTGAGGGACTCAAACTCAGAAGTTTATAAAATCTCTTTTTACTCTTTTACCACCACCTAATAGTGGTTAAAGTAAGAGTATTTCCCAATAGTCAAATGTACATCTCACACCCTAATTAACCAAACACAACCACCACAATCAAGAATCAAGATAGATCACACACACATAAGAACACCAAGAATTTACTGTAGTTCACTTGCTCAATCTGAGTGAGCTACGTCCACATTGAACTCGAGAAACAAGCGAGCTCGCTGCACTAACACTATCAAGATCACGGTTCAGATTACACACAGTATCATCACCCTCAATCCCCTTCTACAATCTGTAACTCACCCTAGAAACCCTACCCTTGAAATCCCTAATGACCAATGTAATCAAATACACCCGAATGACCTGAAACCAATCACTCAATCACAAAGTTACAAGATTCAACCACAAAATTCGTAAACCCTAACAGACTCAAACTTTGCTCGATGAAGAAGAGAGAGATTTACAAAATGCGGTGTTATTCCAAATCTGCCCAAAGGTTTGCTTTTATATGGTTGACCGAAGGACTAATGACAGCCATTGGATCTTCTTCCCATCAAAGCTCAAAATCAATTCTTCAAATCTACTCAAAACGACGTCGCCTCATTTAAACCATAAAACGTCATCGCTTCAAGCCATCACAATAACATTAACGACTTTTTCCCATCCAAATAATGGTTCAATGACACTTTCATACTCACAAGCTTTTAAAATACATCTTTACTACCTAAATTTATATTATGGCGGTCAACAGAGAGCAAATTCTGTCCAAGCTATTAGGGCTTTTGATGATGGCAGGCCAATGAGTCTTTTGGTTGTAGAATGTTGGATTTCGGTGGTTGGGATTGATCAGAATTTGACTTGGGATCAATTGCCAATGATTGGCAGGGTTGACGAAAGTAGGGTTTTAAGGGTTTTGATGAGTGATAATCAAGAAAGAGAATTGTGGTGGTGTGGGGTTGCAACAATGCTGGAATCAGAAATGGAATATAAGTTTGAATAGTAAATTGGCATTTTAAAAGTCCGGGGGTGGAAAAGTGTCATGAAACTATTATTTGGATGGAAAAAAGTCATTTGTTCACTTCCAAATTGAGAAAATATATAAAAATACAACAATATTCTCCCGTCATAGTAAGTTATTTTATGTAAACAAAGTCAAAACAAATGCCACCTTAATTAGATCTAACTTTTTATGTGAACATTATTTTATTATTAATATTATTGTTATAAGTCTTGTGATCTTAATTTATAGCTCAATCTATGTGATAATTAATTTAAACTTAAAGGTTAATTTCATATACCTTGTGACATTGTTTAATTTGATGTGTTTCGAAGATCATGGAAATCTATTACATTTAAAAAAAAAAAAACTTGAGTCTGGAGCTTTGAAAAAAAAAAAAAAAAACCATTTGAAGGAATTTTCAATAATAATATAAGATTTTTATGATTTCCAAAAAGAGTTATATAATCCTAACTTATTTACAAAGAAACAACATACAAGATACAACACATACCCTAAAGGATTGGTCTGATGGTAAAAAAATTTGTTATTTCTTATTATATTGTAACTTACCTTGAAACATATCTACGCCCAATATGTAATGGGGTATGTTGTGGTTGAGAATTTATTAAATTATTAGACAATTCAATGCCACTAAATCCTAGAACAAAACTAGTAAAAAAAAAAAGAATATAAAGAAAAAAAAAATTATACTAATTAAGTAACATTTCCTCAATAATTATTGAGTTATATATTAAGTTAGAAATTAATTGCAAGTTGGAAAGAATGAGATGGATAGTTAATAAGGGGAAGTGAAGTGGGAACAATATGTAAAGGGCCCAAATCAATGTCATCGGCGATAGCACAAGTAATTTACGCATTTGTATTTTGAATGATTGAGGTGCCTAAATTAGTTTATAGTATCTTAATTAATCATTGAATCTTAGACTGTAGTTTAGATAAGAGTTTTAATAGCTTAGCAATCGATGAGAGATTCAAACTCATAACTCTTGAATAGTTTACGGGTTTCGATAATCGTTTTGTTGAATTGTGACTGATTGTATTACTAATAAATACAGTAAAACTTTGCAATAACTAATTTAATTATTGATTTATTATACAATATTCTTGTTATATTGATTAAAAAAATAATTACTAAAGTTTATTTTGTTACGTAATGCCTCTCTAATACTAAGAGTAATTTTATTAAAATAATGAATTAAAGCTATGTTAAAAAAATAATATTTAATTTAAAGATCCACTGAAATTTTAGAAGAATTAAATTTATCCCATCCATACGATGAAAAATTAGATTTTTTTTTATAGGCTGAATGACAATTTGACATCCATTATGGCAAAAGAATTTTTTTCTCCTCTGTTGTTGTTTTTTTTTTTTTTTTTTTTTCTTCTGGAGTTCTCTAAACTAACTTATGTACACCTCAACTAATTATTAGGTCTTGAAATTGTCGGCCAGATAGAGCCCCCAATGGCCACCCTTATTAGTGCCTAGAGGACTCAACTCAGAGCTCATAAATTTCATTTTGCTCTTTTACCATAAGGTCACCCAATGGTCAAAATTATCTTTAATTCGTCTTATTTCTATTTGCATACATAAATTAAGCTATACCATTATTTTCATTATTAAAGTTTATTAACTTCTAAAAAAATTTATTTTTTTGGATGAACTTTTTTGAATTTTTTTAATTATTTGATAATTTCTTAACTCGTTATTAATTGTTATTTTTTGTAATTAATTTAAATATTTATATAACTGAAATTTTGTGATAAAAAAATGGTGAAATATAAAATGAGATGGACAAATATAAGTTTGGAGGAACATGGGTGTTTCCGACAAAGGGGGGGAATGTCATTCACACTAGATTGGGGGACAAAATATTTTCCGGCATTGTTCATAAAATATTGGACTGACTGATGTACTTAAGTGAGAGGTGAAATTGGATTTTGATAAAATTCCAGAAACACTTTAAAGATGTCATAGTGTGAGTACCTTGTGCTAGTTGTAAGGTCGTTGAAGCTATTAACAGCTCTTCCCCGACGAGCTTTTAATATTCATATGTCCAAATGAATTCTCTGTTCCCACCTACATGCTCCCAAAATCACAAGTCTTCATGCATTTCTTCCCTTTATTAACACGCGCCCTGTCCTCCTTCATTTCCATGTCCATTCTCTTAAGGCAAGAAGAAATAAGAAGATCGAGTTTTTGAGTCGTTTCTGGAGATGGGTATCTTTTCATTGATAACTGGAAGGCCTGCTCAAGTGGTTTGGTTCAGCTTCGACTGCTGAACAAGTTACTCTGGGATTGATGCAAACCATCTTACTGTTATAATCACTGGTTAGTTTTATTTCTTTTTTAAACGTTATGGGTCTTTGTTTGTTTGTTCGTTATGGGCAATGGTAGCGTTATCGTGTGTGAATTTTGAGTTTGGATGCTTCTAGTTTCTTCTTCTTCTTGATTGATTTTATATTTTTCTAGCACGAGTTCTGCGCTAGTTTGGCCAGTCTGAGCTCTGTCAGTTTGGACTCTTGTTCACTAATTGGGATTCGTGGCATTATTTGTTTTGTTTTATTTGTCCCCATTTTTACTTTCCCTCCTCATTTCAACTGCTTTCATGGATTGATGTTAGTTCTTATCGTTTTCCAAACACCCTACGGCTCAGCTCACCCCAAACAAAAAGGAGATTCATTTCAATTTTTTGTTTGTTCCTTTCTATTAGCTTAAGAATAACTGATTTGAGTGCCTACTGATCTTCCTCAAGTCCTCGATGGCAGTTACTTTTTCTTTTCATTTTCTCTCGTCTCTGGGATTTCCTTTTCTCAATCTCAAAAGTGTGCAAATTTTTTTGTCATAGAAAGAGCTTCGTGCACGTAAGAACTCTGGTTGTATAGTGAACAAGGACATCAAACTTTGACTCAGATGAAGTCCAAAATATTATTGGACCACTCTTTATTTTAAGCTCACCTTTGCTTGTACAGAAGTAGAACTGTAGAAAGTTAAAAAGGGGGGTGGGTGTATTGATTTTAACTTTTATCAGAAACGTCCAGCTTGGAGGGTTCTTCATGAAATGAAACAAATTAAAACCTGTGTTCCCATCTGAAATCTGAGAAATACCTTTAAAAATTTGGGAAAAAGGTATGATTTATTTTGTTGTATGAATATTCTTAATGCAGGAGGAGCAGCAGGAATTGGTGTGGAGACTGCAAGAGTTTTGGCTCTCCGTGGAGCTCATGTATTATTGGTGCAAGGCATATGGAAGCTGCAAATGAAGCGAAACAGCTTATTCTAAATGAGATAAAACAGCTCGAGTGGATGTTCTGAAACTTGATCTTTGCTCAATTGCATCCATCAGAGAATTGTTCAGAACTTCAATGCTCTTGATCTTCCTCTCAACATCTTAATGTATTTTCTTCCCTTTTACTTTTGAATTTAATCATTTTTATTTTATTTCGATTTTACTGGAACAATAAAAACGTTGAATTGCTCTACAGAAACAATGCTGGAATTATGTTTTGCCCATACCTCTTTCTCAAGAAGGAATAGAAATGCAGTTTGCAACAAATCATCTTGGTAAGTTGCATGATTCTTGTTACTTTCCACGTGATTAAATTATTTCATTTGAACTCTTCTTTTCAGGTCATTTTCTCTTAACAAATCTCCTCCTGGACAAAATGAAGAACACTGCAAAAACCACTGGTATTGAAGGTAGGGTTGTAAATCTGTCATCAATAGCTCATCAGTACACCTACAAGGGTGGAATTCGATTTGAAAGATCAACGAAAAATCTGGGTATGTTACCTTAATCACTGATTATTCATAGCTTTTTATGCACAAATCTCTAAAGATCAGCTGATAATTAGTCTTCTCATTTTTGATTCAGTTACTCTGACAAAATGGCATATGGGCAATCCATTAGCAAACATATTACATGCCAATGAGCTCTCTCGTCGATTTCAGGTAATTATCCATTACTGATGCAGATAACTCAAAATTCTGTAAACAATTTTCTGAACCATAACTAACATGAATACAGGAAGAGGGCGCGAATATTACAGCAACTCGTTCACCCCGGGTTAATATGACGAATCTTTTTAAATATTCTGCCTTTCTGATGATATGTTCTATATCTCAGAAAGAAAACCATACTATATATGCGCAAATGGTGTTTTCATTCATTTTTTCTTATTTTATACCATTTTTTTGCAGAATTTTTAAAGTTCTTCTCCTTCTTCCTGGAAAAATGTACCTCAGGTAAATTTTGTGCATTTTGGCATTGGAAAAAGATGTATGGATTCAACCATTATTAAAACGTATTCATTGATTTCATCAGGGGGCAGCCACAACATCTATGTTGCTCTCCATCCAAATTTAAAAGGAGTGAGTGGAATTTTCGTGGATTGCAATGAAATGACACCAAGTCCACTTGCAGAGATGAAGTATTGGCAAGAAACTCTGGGAATTCAGTAATAAGTTGTACTTCAATTTCAAAAGCTTAAATAAATCATCAAATGCTCCCTCAGTCCAAATAAAAACTAGAAGCCTACTTATATATATATAAGGGATTGATGAATTACTATTGAAATATGCCTTTTCATTTTCGTATCATTTTTTTGTATGCACCATTTACATATTTATCATTTTTTTATTCTTTCTTTCCCATACCATGCAGCAAGCTCATTCAGAACGAAGAAATTACATTATGGTTAATTCTACCATAAACATAGTCCGACAAACCCTTTTTAATATCTTTCTCTCCACATAATTTAACAATTGGCAATTGGGTAGGCCGGAGGCACAGGACTCCATTGCCAACTGCTAGTTCTATTTGTGAGAAAAATTAATAAGAATTGTAATATACCATATCAAATCTAAATAAAGATTGCGAGCAAGTACGGCAATGGAATTGATGAAGAAAGTGATGGATTTCTGACAGCATAATTCTGTCGATTCACTCAAACCAATCTCATTTCATTGTATGGATGGAGCGTGGCATTTTCACATGTTGAACTAATTTTCAAATGCATCATTCAACGAAGTAGATGCAACGAGGATACCTTGATTGTACTCAAAACAAACAATTCGAAATGCCTCGACTTGTTTACAACAAAAATTAATACTTTATCATTGTTCATGTAAATTTGGAAATTTCTTCATTCATTGTGATAGTTTAAAGAATTATAATAACTAATTGCTGAGGTTTGATTAATTGATAGTATACAAAATTTATAATAATCAGACGGTGGACGCACCTTAATCAAGACGACTCCTGGTACTCAAACAATCCTAAGGCTCGCACAAGCCACGCGGAGCTGGCCACCACAACGGCCGCGAAAACGGGAGGAACAAACAAATCAAGTTTGGACCTTTTGAAAAGGTGAGCCGGAAGGCAGAGGAACTCTCCCGGCAGGTCTAACGGAACCCTAACGAAAGCGTCAGTATCACAGTCACGTGAAAAGGAAGAGGAGGGAGAGATAGCCCAAACAAAGCAGAGTTCAGGCCAAAAGGAAGAGACGGCAACTGCCGCAGTCAGGATGGTGGTCCACGTGGCAGCGTAGAGGAAGAGGGGCCATCGAGAGGTGAGTTTATGAAACAGGGAGTTAAAGAAAGAGAGAGACATGACGAATGAATAAAGCCAAGGAAAGGAAAGGAAAAAGAGTTTGATACCAGTTTCAATCAAATAGTTGAGACTGAGACGAGAGAAAGTAAATTATGAGTTTTTATTTATTAAGGGACCTAATTTTCAACAACGTACTTGAATGTATGGAGAAATGAATGAGTGAGTCAAGAATGTTAACTAAGGATAAGGACTAAGGAGCAATGGAATGACGTCCACTTGAGCTGATGAGAGGAAGAGAAGAGTTGCCTTTGTCTTTGCTTTTTGGTGGGTTGGGTATTGACTCTTGACAGGACAACAACTCCATGTCACCTAATATCCATCAGTTTGGTACCCTACTATATTGGTATTATTTTAAGGATAAAAATTAATTCACTATTTAATCTTATAAATTTTTTATCTTTGTTTAATAGTTTATAATTCATCGGTTCGTAAATAAATTGATAGGATCCATAACAAATAAGTAGTACTCATTTGAAAACTAACTAGTTAGAAACTATTATATCAGGATTATGAAAAAAAATTGTAAGATTGAATTATAAATATAATATTACCGTTATATAATTGTGAATTGTTGAGGAGTTGAGGGGTTAGAGTTAGATGGGATGACCATGGACCAAAACGATATCAAAAAATTCTATAAGAATAAAGATATTTAAGTTAAATTTCAGGGATAATATTTAATTTCCAAGTTAGACGGTAGACGTCAGATTGTTCGTCCTCAATCACCAAACTAAACCGTTCACGATAAACAAGTTGAATTTTGTAAAAAGGAACATTGGTCTAAATAGGTATGTTATAACTCAAAGCCGCTTAATAAACTTACCAAATATGAAATTATTATTGTTTTCGTCTCGATACTCTAATGAGAAATAAATATCCAAATATTTACAAATTTATGGGAGTAAAGTAATAGATTAATAAATGCTAATATTCTTAATAACATTCATCTTTATTAGAGGAATAGTTATTAGTTAGATGGTAGTATATATATATATATAATATCCAGACCAGTTTATGCGTATCTCAATAAATCTTAACGTCCATTAAATATCTTATAAGTTTAATATTCCAAGTAAACCATAAATATGACAGATAACTTTAAAGTAGTTTAAACCAAAAAAATTAATAAAATGAGCAAACCTTCTGCCAAGCTAATCTCTTGAGGTTAGTAGTAGATATTTTTAAAGTTGCTCCAAAATACTTTCTACCATAACGTTCCCAAACAAGAATTGCCAGCAACAGTTGGCCGGCATTTTCCTTCGGTTTTCAAAACTTTAATTTATTTTATATAATTTTTTATATGTTTTAATATTTTAAAAGAAAATAAAAAATTTAAATAAACTGAATTTTTTATTCTCTACTTGTACAGTTAAAGTTAACGGAAAAATTTGATGGGTGGGTAGGAAACTGTCGTTTTAAAACTTTTCAGGTGGAAACTTGTTGTAACCTTGGGTGGGAACTTGCCGTTCGCCCATAATAATTTAAGATCATATCCAAGTAAAGGGGTCAAAATTGATCAAGCCTCGGGGCTTCTCCATAGCGTACCAGCCAGACATCAGTTGAACCCGCAAGAATATTCGTGGCCTTGAAATTTTTGACTAAAAAAGAAAAATATTTACATTGGAGAAAGGGTTCGGATAGAGTAATGTCATTACAACAAATCCCACCGTATATTTGATATTATTTCTGAATAACCAAGTCTTAGTTCACATCCTCTACTGAAAGTATAATGACAAAGAACTTAAATAGGATTGTCAGAGCGACTAATTTACTTGGACGAACATTTTACGGAATGTAGATTTTCGACTGGATTGATTTTACAGGTAGCAACTACACAACACAGCGACGTATATGAGATGCATTCTTTAGGCAACATTCATTACATTTCAGCCTGCTAAATATCACAAACTGGAAGAGAAGAATACTTTTTCTACCTTAATAGTAAGAAAAAGAACCCCAACCAATGAGACACCGATTGCAGCAAGCATAATAACCAGCATAGTCTGCAAGGAGATGTATGGGGTTACAAAGAACACAATTGCAATGGAAGCACACTGCCAGACCTTCAGCTGTGCAAATGCTCCTTCCTGTTCCCAAACACAATATTTATTTCTGGTTAGAATTTCAAACCATAACGGTAAAACTTTATACAAATAACAGGGGAAAAAATAAAAAAATGGTGCAACATGTAGAGGATTCATTTTCATCAGAATAGAAAACCAATCACAAAATTATTAATAATTAGTTAAATGAGATTGAAAATCCATATGGGAAAATTCATGCAACTCTCACAGATAATTACCACCTCAAAAACACAAATGGAAGTCACTTTCCTCCATCTTGCAAGAATTGTAAAATATCCATCATAAAACAACCATCAAATCAAGTATTGGTCTTCTGTCTTTCATTCTTTTTGTTATTTGATAAGTAGCTAGTGTGAGCATAATAAAATATAAAATTATTTGGGTGCGACAAAATAGAAAGATTAAAGTTTATTTCAACATTACTAACTTTCCCTCAGGTGAAAAATATGAGGGTAGATAAGGGAACTTAAAATGTCAAACTCAACAAATGCTCGTCTTATAAAAATTGCATTAATTGGTACCGTATCATGCTTGAAGAGTATTCCAATCAAAGCACTGAGCTGTGTATTAAGCACTCCATCACCAATGCCCAATATAGCTGCCATGAGAAGTGGGTATATAATGCCAAGTATTCCACCTGTTACGCTGTACAAAAACAGGATAAAACCAGGAGTTGAAAAGATAGTAATACCCTCAATTACGCACTTGATAAATGCTTCACGTTCCACCAAAGTACAGGGCATAGGAGTAGATAACACAAACCTGTATTTTAGCAGAAGCCACAGGAATACAACAGCCTGAACCAAAGCTCCACCAAAAACTATGTAAGTGATTGATGAAAGACCAGAGGTAAGTTGACCAGCAGCCAGCGAACACTGAAAGAAGTTGCAAAAACAGGCTGACAGTGATTAGAAAAATAAAAAAGTACTTCCTAGGTCAGATCAGTTACTGGTGCTAGTTAACTTTTATTTTGGGAGCATTTTGCATAGAGCACTAATAGAGCTATACTAGTGTTTCTAAAATATGTCTCAATGAGAATTAAAATAAGTTACAAGTAAACAGTGGTTGTCATTTAACCATGTAAAAGCACCATTGCTCAAACAAAACACTTGAAGTTGCCACCACGCATAATCTCTTGGAAATAACACTTATTGAATGCATAAATAGAAGTATTGCTAAACTGATAAGCATCTGATACTAAATTCATAATCTAAAATGTTATTACAGAGAAGTCGGATATTAGCTCTCTTGTAATTTCTTTATAATACTGGTGAGTGAGAAGGTTAAGTTTTAATATTCCAAAATCCAAGCATGCAGACATCCGACTGTAGAAAATAAAAAAAATGCCCTTGATAATTTAACAAATGCGAATTGCCAAGTTACTTCAGTTGGATGAGATTATGAAAAATTACTTATTTCTGCTTCTCTTACTTACCAATGCATCAAAAGCTCCATACATTGCCATTGCACCACCCACACCAGGCGCACCAAGTGTTGGAGTTACAATCTCCTTGGTAAATTCAGCCCTTCAAATTGAGGAGAAAAAAAAAATGACCCACTGATAAAGGAAACTGAAATACTAAGTGCAGACCAGAAACATTAACATTTCACGGAAATAGCTACTAGACAGTAGCATATGAAGTTCATCAAGAATTACCATACAAATGCTTGTTGCAATCCTGAATATGCAATAAGGGGAATGATCAGGATCATCTTTATGTCAAATAGAGGAGCGATGACCGACTTTGACAAAGATACTACATAAGAATAAAAGTTAACAGAAGCATCTGCTGATCCCTTTTCTCCTTTACCATCATCTTTACTTAAGAAGCACATAAGGATAGTGCCTAATGTCATACTGATAAGGAACACAATGAACAGTAAAGTTGTCCCACTGGTAGTTCCCCCCTGCAATGATGTGAAAGGAAATGAAGTGAGAAGTTTCTTATTTATGAGATTAATGTGTCCATGTCACTAGTGCTATCTTTTGGACAATTAGAAGACATGAAATCCAAGAAATCAAAATTTTCTAGTCAAGAAAAAATCAGTCTTGATCAAGAAGGTCAGATGTGGTTAGTAAAAATTAACAGTCTTAGTATGCAAATGTTTTAATGCTTTAATGATTTCTCAGTAAACCACTTGGAACAACATCTCCTTCTCCCAAAAATTAAAAACTAATAGAAACGGAAAAAATATAAAGGGAAAGAAAAACTACATTTTCACATAACGAGATAATATCATCTCATCAAGCCCATCCAGGGAAAACAACCAAGATGTCTTATATGTACTTAATATCAACCAATAGATCTATTGTGTGTGCTATTTTCTGTACCAAGTTTAAAACAATTATTTCATCATTGCTTCCAACAAGAATAACAAGCATTGCTTTTAAACAAAAACATATATTAGCCAAAAAATAAGCCAGCTAAAATGAATTTAATTTCATGGTCTCATATTTTATACTGAAATTACAAAGACCTTTAAACAAAGTTACCACCAACATTCAAATAGGCACAGTCTTTAATACCAATCTGAGGATATTAGGTAGAAAATATCTGGTAGGTTGAGACTTATCTACAAAATTATGAACTGTTTCCACCAACATCATACCTTATTTGTTGAGCTAAGCTAACAGTGAATGCCAGTCAACTAGCTTTCTTAGAAGAAAATAGCCAACTGTTATACAATTATGATAAACAATTTCCTCCATTACAGTTCCCAAATCAAACTGGAAAGTCCAATCCAACCTAAGCTGTAGAATAGGGTATTATGCCCTTCAAAGTAATTGCCTAGAAGATGTCACTACAGCAAATAAATTGATGGCAAGATCTATTATTAATGACACTAAACAAAGACTTTAAACATATATTAGGGTCAACCATAAATATCCAGCTTCTTGGCCATTCCACCTAATCCAGAGCAACATAAGTAAATTGGCCTCCACTACCTTACTCTGGATATAATTCTTCGGATACATAGTCAAAAAGATAGCCCAAGCGTCTAAGAAAACTCATTCCATT